TTTCGCTTTAATCCACCCCAAAGGAATTATTGATAAAACCTGGGTTACCCCCTCCGCCCCCTTTTTCCTGGGGTGGGTCGTAACACTCCTGATTGAGCTGTTGCTGCAATAGCACCAGAACATGTGTCGATAGACACATGAATTTACTTTAATTTTCCAAAAGGTGCATAATGTGTTATATCTGACTGCCAGATGTCCAGTGGATTAATTCCACGAGGATTTACTCCCTCTGATGGTAGGGGAGTAAGTCTTTGGCAGTCTGAGCATGCAGAGAGGATGGTTCTAGCTTCAGAGAGTGTGAGGTTGAATGCTTTCGTGAGGGATTTTATGTTCTGATGAAAGAAACTGTGGGACAGTTTTGCCTTTTCAAAATTATTTGGGGCCACTGCAGTTTGTGCTAGGTGTCCTGTGTCAGCTATTTGATCTGCTACACGGTTTTCTTCTGCAATGGGCTCTGGGAGGGAAGTGTGAGAGCGGATGTGGATTATATGGAATTTGTGTCTGCTCTGACTAATTTCATACCATAGTGTCTTGAACATGTGAGGTAATTGTAATTGGGAGAGGTCCTTTATGTAAGAGTTTTCAATTCATCGGACCACACCAACCACGTAAGCTGAATCAGAAACAATATCCAAAGGCTCTGGAAACAGTTGAAATGTGCGTATTACTGCAGAGAGCTCCGCTATCTGAGAGGAACCTCTTACCTTGTGCGTGTCAAACACCCACTTCCCTGCCTTTTGCCAGGTGACTACTGCGTTAGACGTTCTTCCTGATCCGTCTGTAAAAACCGTTCTAGCATTTGTTAGCGGGAAAGGTGAATAATTATTTGTTAGTTCTGGTTGGGTGAGAGCTAGTAGCTGTAAAAAAGGGATAGGTGGAAAGTGTACTGAAAATTGACCCTTAAAATCAGCAATGGCTACCTGGAAAGCGTTACTATGAATCAGCAACTGAGTTAGTTGAACATTAGACAGAGGAACATATATGATTTCTGGGTCCCTACCCAATAGTTCCCACAATCGCAGTCTGCTTTTGTGACACACCTTGGAGAGCATTTCAGGGTATGTCGTAACCAATTTAGAAAACTGAAAGCTTAGAAAAACCCATTCCCATAACAGAAACTTCTTGCCTTTTAAGTCTAATTGTCCTAGAACGGCATAGGGTTGCTTGATACCCTTAAAAATTACTAATACCACCAGTAACCCACACACTCTCTGCTTAGTCTGACATGCACTCAGTCTCTGATTTATGTCCTGTAACACTGCTCGGGCTTCTGGTGTCAGGTGTCAAGTGGATGTCAGATCCGCCTCCCCTTTCAGAAGCTGGCATAGTGGTTTTAAAGAGTCTGTTGTTATACCTAGGAGAGGTCTAACCCAATTAATTAAACCGAGCAAAGATTGTAAGTCATTTAAGGTGTGGATGTTGGAGGGTAAGGCAACCATCTGAGGTTGAATCGTGGTGCTATTGATGTGATATCCGAGGTACTTCCATGGCATTGTCATTTGTTCTTTTTCCGGTGCAACCTCAAGACCGTGTCTTGACAGAGCAGCTTTCACAGTCCAATGAAGTTGTGCGAGTTGCTCCTTGGATTCAGCAGCCAGTAGGATGTCATCCATGTAGTGGTACAGGATGGTCTGGGGAAACTGCCGACGAATTGGAGACAAGACCTCTGCGATGACTCTCTGGCACACAGAGGGGCTATTTCTCATTCCTTGAGGCAGGATGGTCCAGTGATAGCATCGAGAGGGTTCTGCTGCGTTGATGGAGGGTACTGTGAACACAAACTTACGAGAGTCTTTAGGGTGTAAAGTGATGTTAAAGAAACAGTCTTTGATGTCTATAATAATGATGGGCCATTCTGAGGGTATCATTGGGGGTGATGGGAGCCCAGGCTGGAGAGCTCCCATGGGCTCTATGATTTTATTAAGTTCTCTTAAGTCCTGTAGTAACCTCCATTTTCCATTTGATTTTTGTATTGTGAAGATGGGGAAGTTCCAGGGACTATCCATTAGTACTAAATGTCCCTTTTTCCAATTGTTCATCAACTAGTAAGTTTACTTGCCGCAGTTTTTCTCCCTGTAGAGGCCACTGGGATGCCCAGTGTGGCTCATCTGAGAGCCACGTGAGGGCAGGAGACTGCAGCTGACCAGTGGCCTTTAAGCTAAATTTGACGTGGTTAGGTGAATTCCCCATTGCCCTATAATATCCCTTCCCCAAAGGTTCATTGAAATATTAAGGATGTAGGGCCTTGTAGAGGCTGTTTTACCTTCAGGGCCTTCAATCAATAGTGTGCAGGCACTTTGGAGTGGTGACTGCGCTCCTCCTACCCCTTTGATGTTGATTCAGAGCTGTGTCGTGTTCCATTCCTTAGGCCAGTCGCTCTCTGCAGAGATTGTGACGTCTGCGCCTGTGTCCAAAAGACCCTTAACTCGAACACACTGGTTAGAATTGGGATACAACACAGTACAGGTTAGCATAGGGCGGTCAAGTAAAATTGACTGTGACCACTGAGCTAAAGGTATTGAGTCCAAAGTGTTTTTCCCCGCCTCACTGTGGGTTAGACTGGCAATCGGTGTATTTGTGTCAAGCTCTATGGGTGGAAACAGAGCTTTGATGGTTACTTCTACTACTTTTGGGTTGTCTAGAGATATTGATTGGGGGACAACTGTTAAACTTGTATCAGAGGATGCGGCAGTTCCTGTTAAAATATATTGTCCAGCAGGTAACTGAAATTCAGTTGTTGGTTTTAGTAGGACGGTCTGGTAGCTATCATTGTCTATGGTGAGTCAGTGGGGAGATGCCAGCTCCACCCTAAGGATACTCGCTCTGGTTGTCCGTCTGGGATCAAGGGGAGCAGATGAGTGGGGTTGGCTTGTGGAACATTTTGTGTCGTAGCGCTGTCCCTGGAGCTCGGCAGTCCGTTTCCCGACATCGAGGCTAGTTTGGGAGCAGGCCTACGTGAGAGTGGTCTGCCATCTCTGTCGAAGAGTGCCCTACAGTCATTTGCCCAGTGCAATCCCTTTTTGCATTGGGGACACAAGCTAGGAGGTACTGTAGGTGGCCTAGGTTTTAGTTGAGGGCAATCTTTTTTAAAATGTCCAGGTTGTTTGCACTGGTGGCATGTAGTCTACTTTTGCACCGCCAGGACTTCGGCCAGGAGGGATTTGTTATAATTTCCAGATCCCACATTATGACATGCCTTAACCATGTCCATAGGAGTGGGGTCTTTAAGGATTCTTAGTATTTGCTGGCAATCATCATTAGATTGTTCTATAGCCAATCTTAAAAATAGTGCATCCTGAGCTTCAGGATGTTTGACTTGTTTTGCAGTGGCTTTCTTTAGGCTTTCTGCAAAGTCTATGAATGGTTGTGTTGGTTTTTGTTGTACTTGTGTGCATGATGGTGTAGGTTCAGCAGCCTCAGCAATGGTTTGAATAGCCTGGAAGGCTAGATTTTTTGAAATGGCCAATTCATTCATAGGAATTTTGGTTTGGGCCTCATTGGAAATATAAGGTCCAACTCCGAAAAGCCTATTAAAGGACTCCAAAACTGGTGTCCCTGTGGTTGCTGAGGTTCGCTGGGCGTGCTGGCGAATGCGTTTTTGCCATTCGTCTAGGAAAAGTGTTGCTTGCATATTAGTGAAAAAGGCACTTACAAGTTCTTTTATGTCATTTGGAGTGAACGTCTAAGCAGCAAAGAGAGAATGCAGTACCCTTATTATATAAGGTGAGTTTAACCCATAATCCGTAATGGCTTGTTTTGTATCCTTCAGTACCGGGAGGGGTATAGGTTCCCAGACAGGGCGATTATTGGGATGATGAAATACAGGAAATGCTTTAACTAAATTCAAATCATCAGCTGTTGACACTTGTTCCTTTATGTAAGACCATCTGCTCCTCTGGGCATTGGCACCGGAGAAGTCAGGACCATAATTACAAGCATGCTGGTCAGTATACGGGGATGGTGAGGTGGGAATATGTGGGGTATGTGGGGGACAAACGCCATTTACCGGTGTAGAGCAACAAGTACTTCCATAGGGTGAAGGGACTGAAGGGGTTAAATCACCAGCTACTGGCGCTGCAGGATAGGTGGCGTTGTCGTGGGGACTGGGGAAAGGAGTACATGGATGTGTTGGGGG